TTGGTTCTGCCCATACTCATTGAAGTATGTAACAGTTTTGGTATCGGAGCAGACCAGTTTACGGATCTGCTCACCAGGTAAGTCTGATTTAGGAAATAGATTGCTTCTTCAATCTTCCAAATCAGCGCTGTATTACTATCAAATTCAAAGTTGCAAATTTTTTTTTTTTCTTTTTTTCGGTATTCTATTTATTTCGGCATTTCCGTTTCAATTCGGTATTCGGACTTATAATTCGGATTTCTGTTTTATTCCGGTATGCTGTTTATTTAGGTTCCGATTAATTGATACTAATCCGATAATTTGTTAGGTTCGGATTCCTGTTTTGAAAACGTTATTAGGGTTGAATCAGTATCCTATTGAAATTCGGCACTCTGATTTCCATTCAGCAGTCCGTTTTTAACTTCGGCATTCTGTTGTAAATCCTACATTTCGTTTTTCGTTTGGTATTTCCGTTTTCCCTTCAGTATTGGAAATTAGGGTTACGAAATTTTGGTTGTTCGAGCAACTTGGGAATTTCGAACGTTTTGGAACCGTAATACCGGAAATTCCGCGGAAACGCGGAAAATTAGGGTTGGGCCCGAAATTTTCGCGAATTTTTTTTCTTTTCCCTTGTTGGCGAAATTCCGAAAACGGATTTAGGCCTTTAAAAATCGGATTTTGACGGTGGAAATTCCCAAAAATTCACGTTTTTGAAAATTCGAGTGTTTGTTTCTCCGGATTTTCCGAAAATTTTGTTGGCAAATTAATCCGAATCTGACCCTCAAAATTGAGACTTCCGGGTAGTTCACTAATTAACGGTGAACTCCCGGACCATAATTGATCTCAACAGATACCTAATCTTGCTACAATTCAAATTTGTTCATTATCATTATTGCAAACATTGTTTTATTGATTATCATCATTATTGCAAATATTGTATTTGAGAGTTATTATTTCGTATTAATCATTAATTTAATTTTATTGATTAAATAAATCGTTATTAATTTCTTCTTACGAATTTTTGAATTATTTACGGGAAAATTATATTTTCTGTTGATTAGGTGTCTTACGTCCATCAGTGGGACAGGGGACTGTATGCGAATTGTTTGATTGTTCTACCCCTGTTCCCACTCTCCCTACCCTCCCCGTAATCTGTGACCACCGGGACCTCTCAAGTACCATATCAGTTCACACTGATGTCGATGGAACAGGACACCGGGGCACTGCCACGACGCAGTGCCAGGCTTGCAGTTCGTACCCGCCCTGTGGTACCTCCGAGAACCAAGCAGCGACTCAGCAAGCGGAAGACTCCAGCAGCATCAAGTACAGCATTCACAGTACCAGTTACCACCGGGGTTCTTCCCACATGCCCGGTCCAAGGGGCCGGTGAGCCGTTGGCAGATTACCTTCAGCGGGTACAGGCATTCACAGATGCCGTAGCCACCGCAAAGGCACAGGAGGAGGCAGCAGAGGCGGAACGTCAGCGGCTGGCCAGTGAGGCGGCAGCCCAAGCTCAGCGGACTGCTGAGGCTGACGCCGAGGTGCGAGATAAGCGGAACGCCATTTGCATGGAGTCCTTGACTATGAATGAGAGTCAGTGGACGACATTGCTCCAAGGCATGCTCTTTGTGCCTTCGGATACACAGGCGGATCCAACACCGGCGGAGGAAGAGAGGAACAACCTGGCTAACCTGATGTTGAACATGATGCGAGCGATCATGTGGAACAGTACGATGTTACTGGTGCAAATACGCGAGGGCAGACAGCTGCGACAGATTCAACAGAATGATTCTGCAGCCTTAACAGCTGCTGTTCGCGCTGCCGCCACACATCAGCAACAACAGCAACAGCTGTTGAGCACCACCACCGCACACGTCAACAACATCGAGGCTAAGGCCTCAGCAGCGCCAGGCGGCATGACAGACGAGACGAAGCAGCTCAACGAGTGGATCGATCACGTCGTCACGATCATCGGCGAACTCAGTGATTTCACCGGTCCGGCTACGATCAGCAGCACGGTGGCCGCCATCAAGACGGACATCACCAAGCTGCAGTCGCAACCGGCAGCAGCTGCGAAGGCATACAAGATGCCTCGGTTCAATATCGGCAAGTTTGAGGACTACAACAAGACCGACGCTTTGACATGGTGGCAAGCC